CACAACGCGACAATGATTTTATAAAAAAAAATAAATATAATTTTCATAAAAACATAAGAACAATTAACATTTTTTCTTTCGATAATAAAAAAAAACTATCATATAGGTACAGGCATCGCAACCTAATTTGTCTGAAGAGGGGATGTGCGTTAATCTCGAATTTTAATTGTCAATGCCTACTGTAACTGTTAAAGAGAGATGCAAACAATAGCCGTGTTGTCGGGGATGATCAGTAGATGATAATATTTTTTTGAATTTGTGTTTGTGTAGCGTGCAAATTTTTAGTTATATCTTATTCTTATTTGTTTGTAGTATTTTCTTTTAAATAGTGACTTACTTGTGCTAAAATGCCGAAACATTTAGGTAGCAAAGGAAATAATATTTCATCTATTCGAATATTTTATGAAAAAAAATGATCCTCGGCAACAAATAGTTTTGAAAAGAAAAACAACGATGATAGTGAAACTTATAGACAATGTGTTGTGAACGATGATCCCAAAACTCTCACTGAAATTAAAGAACAAGTTGCTGAACCTACAGGATACTCGGTAAAAACAATTGAACGAATAATTATAGAAGATGAGATAATAAAAGGTGAAAAGTCTACGTCGACCATACCTAAACAATTGTTTAAAAGTCCAGAAAAGCGAAAAAGAACATCAAGTGTAACAGATATTCCATCCTACAATATTGAATCAATCAGAGATATAGTTTATAGATTTCACGAAACAGAAGGTATTCGCGTAACAGTCAAAAATCTTATTGCGTCTTCGATTTCACTGCCCTGTCTGCGTGGACCATATATAAATTAATATTAAAAAAAAACCGTTTAAATGCACGGCACTGGTAACAAGTGGTAGTTCCCGGCCATACTACTTGGAGCCACCGTCGCAAATAAGATGACAGCGATGTTGTCAGTTTCCATAAACTTTCATGGGATTAGAGTTATTTCAAACGCATAAGCTGCACCTTATTTTGTTTTTGTCGTTCTCGATATCATCCATATAATGGCCATACTATTGCTGAGATATTTTAAAGAGAGGTTTGGCAACTGTGTTGATAACCTCGTTAAAAATGAAGAACGGAATGGCGGAATGCGAAATGGTCGAAAAATGCACAAAAACCGTCATAAAATAAAAGTTATTATGATGTTGTGGATATAATTATCCTTCGATAGGTAAGTTATTATTAGGTGAAGAAGATTGATAAGTGCTGATTTGATGAAATTAGTAATATTAACAATATAATTTAATAAGGTGTTAGATTTGTTTAAGGACTTTGTTTATCATTGTTTTCCTGTAGCCTTAACGAAGAACCGAAGTATAATTTCTTAAATTCATTTTTGATCGATTTTCAATTCTTTTTTAATATACCTATTTGTAACAAAACATGTCTGGCCCTGGTAAAATTAAGTAATCTTTTTCAGCCCCTTAATTTAGATAAGTATTATTCTAATATTCAGCAGGCTGGTTATTCAAATAAAACCTTTTTTTATTTTCCTTCCGATATTAAAATTCGCGAAAACTGTTTTAAGAATTTACATTTATCTTTAGATAATAAAATTCGCTATCTTTGTGAAGATCATTTTTTGCCAGATTCTTTTAGTAAAATTGCTTCAAAACGTAATCGACTAATCGCAAATTCTGTACCAATTTTATTAGCTAATAGTACATCCAGTTCAACTATACTTAATACTCAACCCAAACAGTCAGATTTTAGAAAATGTTGAGGCTGAAGCACATGCACAGTAGCGTAAGATAAATTTACTAATCTGCAACGAAAAACAAAAAATTATTTGCAAATGTAAACTTAGTACCTATTAGTGATAAACAACTTAAAAAACCCTCTGTTAAAAATGAAAAGTAATTTTGAAACTCAAATTTGTTAGATCAACTAGAACAAATTAGTTAAAATATAATTCAATCGACTATCGCACTATATGAGAAATAAACTGAAAGTTTTTTCTATAAACTAATTTTAGACAAATTAAAAATAACTTTTTTATAAGAAAGGGCAACATTTTGATAAGAAAAATTGTTCAATAAAATGTAAGTATGTACACTTTTTGTTTTTATAGGAAACCCCTAACACCTGCATCAAAATTTGGTCCAGTTTTCTAAGAATGAGAGGCGAATACTATTAATTTCACTTACAGTTGTTATTTGTACATGTTATGTATGTAATAAATGTTTAAATCACCTTACTTTTATTAAATGATTAAACTATATACCTAGGTATATACCTGTTGTTTCAAATATTTTAATATATTTTTAATTTATATTTTTTGTAGTTTTATTACTTAAAAAACTAATATTTATGTTAAATACAGTATTTTAATGTAAATATTAGTTTTTTTAAAGTAATGAATGCAAAAAAATGTAAATAAACAATAAAGGACATTTGAATGAGCCGCGTTTAGGCTTACACTATTCTTTTTAATTTTCTTTTTTTATGTTGACTTTAACTGTTAAGTTATCAGCCAATTGTATAGCGTGCGATGGTGGCTCCAAGTAGTATGGCCGGGAACTACCACTTGTTACCAGTGCCGTGCATTTAAACGGTTTATCTTTTAATATTAATTTATTTATGGCGTGGACTGCACATAAAAGATAAGCGATATATCGATACCGGTTACATTTCAGATTTAAAAGTAACTGGTATTGACATATCTCCCACCTTTCGTATGCACTCAGTGCAAGCCGTGCAGTAGATTCGAAGACGTTATTAGTGAAAAATTAAAAAAGGAAATTGAGTGGAAAGGAAGCTACATATCATTAAGAACTATTTTAAAAACAATTGGGTTCAAGTGGCGAAAAACGCGAAACAACAGACAGGTTCTAATAGAACGGCTTAACATCAGGGAAAAACGAATAGATTATATTAAAAAAATTATATATTTTTGTTCTCAAACCGTCCCATTGTATATATTGATGAAACTTATATACATAGTAGCCCATACATCATCACATAATTGGGGCGATGATAATGCAAAAGGTTTGATTTCCATCATTTCGAAAGAAAAGAGACTTATATAGATTATAGTTTATGCTGGTGGTAATATGGGCTTTATTCTTGACAGTTTATTAATGTTTGTGTCTGGGGCCAAATCTGGTGATTATTATAATATGAATCAAGAAAATTATGAAAAGTGGCTAAGAGAACTGTTAATATCAAATTTACCACCAAATGCTATTGTAGTTGTGGATAATGCACCGTATCACAATATTATAGAAAATCCTGCTCCGAATTCAAATTCAAGAAAAGCTGAAATGATAAACTGGTCAACCTTACTTATTACGACCACAGCTGTACACATTAATCAAACAGCATAAAAATAGATTCAAGCAATACAAATTTGATAGATTATTCTCCGAACACGGTCATACAGTTTTGAGATTACTACCATACCACCCAGACTTAAATCCAATAGAAATGATCTGGGCTGTAGTAAAAAATAATGTAGCTATAAAGAATATTCATTTTAAATTAGCAAATTGAATTTAAATCAGTAACCCAAGAAGACTAAAAAAAAAAGATGTGCACATATAATAGCTGTCGAAGATAAATATTTAGATCGCGAAATTATAATGGATGACGCTATAATTCCTACAGTTATAATTAATGTTAATGAAGACAGCAGTGATAGTTCTAGTTTCTTAATGGAATACATTTTAGCTAATTTATAGTACAAGATCTGTTTAACAAATGAAAGTTTTTTTTTTATTAAATAAAATGTGTTTATAAATATACCGTAAATGGATTGCCTAAAAAAATACGGTCACGCCCTCTTTTTACTTTCCTTTCTATGTAGACGTATAGAAAGCGTTGAAAGCATGATAAAAGTAAATAATAATACTTTCCATAATTCACCCCCTTACAACTGAATTTTGACCCCAAAGGCTGAGCTTGTCCGGGGAAGGGACGGCCCTTCTAATTAATATTTGGCGTGGCGCTCCGTGGCGATTTAAAGATAATTGATGGTGTCAATTAACTTACAGGTTAGGAAAACCCCACCACCATTAGTTTTGAATGGTATTCGAGATATTTGAGGAGAAGTGCAAATTTCGAATTTTGAAGATAACTCAAAAACGGGTAAAGAGAAAAACACATCAAATTTTATACTTAACCTTTAATCCATCCTGCGGTCAGCTGATTAAATTTTGGGCATAGTCGAAACATCTGGAGAGTACTTTAAAATGTGTCGCATTTTTACTTCAAGAAAATAAATAGTCTTGATCGTATTTTCTTGGACAACCCCTTTGTGGTATATTTATAAACCTATTTTATTAAATAGAAAATTACTTTCATCCGTAAAGGTCGACTTTACTTTGGACCGTAGACTATTAGGTACATTACCCTTCCTAATAATTTGATACTAAAATATAATGCTTACATACATATAGTCGGCGTTCTGGCAAAAGTCATTAAGTCCAAGATTAAAGTTTTGAAAAAAAAAGGGTTTAAAGTTACAACTTTGGATGAAAATTTCATTTTGCTTAACTGAATCATGTTAAGGTCATAATAATATTTGACTGAGAAGTACTTTTGTAGGAGTATTAAAAAAGAACTTTCGAAAAGTGCCTAAAGTTGCCAAATTATAAAATATACAAAAACAGTATAGTTAAAATATCTGTTATACTTGTTTTTTTTTTTTAATTAGGTGTCATCGGCATCGACTGCTAAGATCATTAGCCTAGTTTAGGCTTTGTTACTGTTTCCCAGCGCCACTTTAGGAACAGCACTGTTAATTAGAACCCAACAGTAAATGGGCGAGTGGGGAATCCTACCAAGGCATCAGAATTAATTTTAAATAATTAAATTAAATAAAAAATCCCGGCCAACGGTGGGATTCGAACCTGGGACCCTTAGATCCACAGGCAGTGACTCTACCACTGAGCCACCCACCCCTTTTGTTTAAATTAAAACGTCCATTTACGAATGAAAGAAATTTATTTCAAAATGATTTTAACATTTTAACATAAAATAACAAATAAGACTTTTTAGTCTTCCTCGCTTTCGCTGTCTACACTTGGTTCAGCATTTCGATTTTTAACAGTTGTTGACATTGGCAATGATAAATACCATTGATGAAATTCTGAAGGTATAACTTCGTTAGTACACAACTTCTTGAGGTCGTTGTATTTTTGGATTGAAATAGGCAGGCATTGCTGAATAAGCCTTGTTAAGCTCGAATGCTGATGTGAAAGGTCTACCTCGCCCGCTGATATTTATGCAAAGATAATCATCTGAATGATTGTATTTGTATTTGACTACACCTGGGTTATCCTTTTCAATACGAAAGCATTTTACTTGTACTTCACTTTTGACCCTTTAGTGTTAACTGTTCTGTTTTTTTAAAACAGCTTGGGAAATAGCTTTGAAATAAAAAAAAATTAGAATACCTCAGTTCTTGAACAATGTAAGGATCATTTTTATTTTTTCCCCTTTTAGATCGGGCCATTTTAAAAATATTTATCCAGTCGTTTATTGTATAAACTGCCAAATATCTCTTTTGTTTTTCCATGGCACTGCGCATGCTGTCGCACTCCATCATGGAATGTCCAGATTCAAGAAAATTTTGTTCGATGGTAACAATCTGTTTTGAAAATGAACAAAGTAATATAACATCGCAAGAACATTTTGATTCCTATTTTGCCCACCACATGTATCAGAGAAAAATGAAACTTCTGTAACATGATCGGGCAAGTTATATAGGTACCGGTATAAACATGTTGCAATCTCCAAACTACCTCGAGCTCCATTAACTTCAGTCCAAGTATAGCAGAACGCATTATTAGGTGGAGCACCTTCGTAAATTCTTAAATTGTAACCGCACAATTTTCTGCTATAATACATTGGTGATACATTGGTGCTTGGTATTTGGAGGACGCTTTGGAGGTCAAATGTCGCAGTTACAAAATGTGGTTCAGTGGTTGCTCTCGCTTTATCTGTCTTTTTGAAATTATTGGCATCAGTTTCGCGATTTTTAGGTTAAAGATACAGGTACTTAAGTGCAGTTTTCTGATCGCCTGTAGCTGTTTGGTACCTCGTGCAAAGAGAGCGCTGATCTTTGCGTGGCTTGAAAAACGAATAACTATATTCTTGCGAAAAGACCCTTTTGTATGTTGTCATACTTATGGGTGTATAACCTTTTTCCTCACACATTATTTTGTACAGCGAGTACATTTTGGCTATGGACAGTGTTGCATCTAAGTATTTTCTCTGAGATGATTTTCTGCAGTAGTGAGAGTCTGTTAAAGGAAAACTTTCAATATGATTTTTAATAATAGTTTTTTCTTCTTGAGAAATTTTATTGGATGGAACATGTCGTCCCCGCTTGTCATCTCCTTGAAAAGCACTGAAATTAAATTTTTATTTTCAAGGGCTTTATTGAGTGGTCGATTGCTTATAGAAAGGGTTTTTAGAAAAAAAATCTGACACACTTTTGTTGGTGCCCTTCCTTTTAAGAAATAAAACTCTTTTGCATTACTTCGTGGTTAAGCATTTTCTTTCCGGTGACGCTGTCTTTGAGGTATATTGGCTTTGACATTTTTTAGAATAAAATCTTTTTTTTGGGAGTAGGATTCTAATTGCCAATAGCTAGAACATAGCGGGCTTTGTTCCCTTTTTGGTAGTGTAGGGTTGTCCAAGATTTCTACATTTTTTCGTCAAATTTCGATTCCACTTTCTATCATCTGCTTTGTTCCAACGACTCCTATCAGGATTTTCTTCTTTTGGAGCTAACAAATATCTGGATGTTATAAATACTTTTTTAATTCAATTTACCTTCAGTGTCTTCGGACGTGTCAGAATTATTGTCTTCTTCTATATTCGGATCATACTCTTCGTTATTTTCATCGCTAGCCGCAAACGGATCTTCTTCATCCTATAATAAAAACATCTTTAAATCAGTCATTTTTGTAACCAGAAATAATACCTTAGACAGTGTAAAATTGAAAAAGTCTATGATTTTTTCTAATATACTTTGAAAAAAAAAAAAGATTAATGTATACCTGATTTTCTAAAACACCTTTTTCCGGCGAATTTTCGTTGCTTATAAGATCTAACTCATGGCTCGAGCCAACGTGAGATTCTGGCACAGTCTAGAAAAAGCAATTCAATAAATACCTAAATATTTTTATTTTTAATTAATTTAAAAACTAACCTATTGTTTTAATATCTTTTTCCAGTAAACCTGTTGTACAGCTATTCAAAGTCACAACTTGTTGCACAATAACTTTGGGTTTTTTGCTTAAATTCTCAATATTCAGTTAAACGAGTTTTAAAATACGTTTACCTCTACAATCCTGCATTTTAACTATTAGGAAATACACACATGTTGTATCGCAAACCACAGAAAGAGGACATAAACAATCAAATATAACCTCAAAATACCCAAACAAGTAAATTACCTAAGTCCTTTTTACGATAGCCTATTCCAGTCAAAAGTCTTTAAGTCCACTTAGTAATTTCTGCCTGGCAACAAAATAACTTTTTGCGACTTAGGAAGTTTTGACATTCTGACATTCTGCAACCAGGTATACATATTAGTGCTGGACTTAATGAATTTTGCCAGTTCAAAGAAACGAAAATTTCAACACATGACTTTTGCCAGAACGCCGACAATATAACCTTATAGTTTTCAATTTAAAAAATAGATTTAATACTGAAATTTTGGTAATAATTTTGCTAACTAAGCTAATCAATTTTTCCAATTTATTTAATACGTACAGGTTCGTTAACAACATTTTTGTTTTTAGTATTTCACTAAGTATAATCTATCTTCTTTTATCAATCCATGAATATATTTCAGTCTATTGTAGTTGTAATAACCAAAACAAAACAATGTGTGATGCTTTAATCAAAACATTACTAATATTTGTTTTTGATAGTAAATTATTGGCAGCTCTAAAAAATATTAATTACTTTAAAACTACTAGTATTAGTCTTATTCTCTACTAGGGTGCTAACGGCGAAGCAAATTTAATGAACTTGATATACAAAATGCATTTAAAGTTATTCTCATCAATATGATCTTAACACAATAGTTTTTTTTTTAGATCCTTAGGGAATATTATTTATAATCATAAACCATTTTTCTATAGGAATATTTACGTATATAGACAAAAATCAAATTAACTATTTGTTCAAATTTTTAACTCTATTAAAATATGTAAACGGTTAACGTTTAATATAATTTCTTAACAAAAAGAATATAATGGTCTTCAATCCGTCGTTTTTTAGTAAAGTGTTTCATAAGTGATAGGATCGATTTCTTGAGTATTTTGTTAAATTTTCCTAAATAATTGTTCTTCATTTTCTGCCTCCCTTCAATTATCATAAACTTTTCTGCTTAATAAGGCCCAAAATTCTTCAATGGGGCGTGCTTTGGAAACATTAGGTGAATTATCTTCCCTGGGTACAATTAAAACATTATTGAGTTCCAAATACTCTCTAGTTATGATGTTAGTTTACAATTCGTAACAATTTAGGCAATCATCTTTGTAGATAAATCTTGCAGTGATGGTTTCTCCTCTAATATGTCCTACATATGGACCCGAATCACCTGCTGAAGAAATGGTGCACCACACCAGAATTATTATCTTATATAAATAAAAAATTCCTTGATTTTTTCTGTCAAATAGTTTTTATTTTTTATAATTTAAGCACTACATATATGTTTCGGAAAATGACTTGTTTCCATCTTCTGGTGCAGTCAATATTGCTGTAAAATAGAAAGATATGGTTTCTACTATTTAAAAAAAAAAATTAAACGGTTTGTATTTGTTCGCCACATGTTTATAAATATTGACTGCACCAGAAGATAGAAAAATGTTTTTTTCGAAATATATATATTATAAATTATAAAAAATAAAAACTATTTAACCGAAAAATTCTACTACGGTCAGGAAATTATCCTTTAAATTAAGCTTTCCTTTTAAATTTTACATTATTTAGAGCTGCATAGAAATTATGATTCGAGTGTTTGCAAAGTAGTGTTTAATCCTTAGTGCTGGACAACATTGTGCAATTACAGAGCTGTGTATTTTGGACATTTTCTAAATGACATTCTACTTCTCTTAATTTCCCGATATGCAATCATGTGTGAAACTCTAACAATAAAGCTACCAGCAATGAGTTAAGTCAGTAATTTGTTAAACTGAGTGATAATCTAGCCGAGAAAATTAAAAAAGATAGTTTGCTATCATTCCCTAAAACTACGCTTCAAAACTCGATGGTTTCTCTTGATACAAATGTTCCTGAAGGTACAACATTAACAACGATTTAAAAGACAAAAAGCATCTGGAATTGATGAAATATGTGCAGAAGTGTTAAAATCAACGGCATCATCAATTGCAAATCCATTAATATACATTCTAAATCAATGCATAAAGAACTCTATATTCCCCTCAGCGTTTAAACTTTTAAGTATTTTAAAAAAAGCGACAAAAACATTTTCAGTAATTATCCACCAATCTCATTGCTTATACATTTATCAAAAATTTTTGAACAAGTATAATATAATATCTCCCAAACAGTATGGTTTTAAAGTACAAACATCTACCGAGGACGCTATAGTAACATTAGTTTCCCAAATACACAATGCTCTAGAAAAAAAAAACAGACCAAGTCTCTGCATATTTCTTTACCTTAGTAAAACTTTCGATACAGTCGATTATTGTTTACTACTAGAGTGTTTGGAAAACATAGGTATTAGAGGAATCCCCCTGACGCTACTTAAAAGTTACTTTACTAATAGATATCAGAGTGTTAGAATAAATGGTGAGACCAGCTAACGTGAGCTAATTAAGCATAAAGTGCCATAATCTGTTTTCAATTGATAGGCGAGGTAGAATTTTGGGATTTGCAGACGATACTGCAATTTTTTATGAGACAAATAATTGGCATGAACTAAAATATATTGCAGAAAGCGACTTTCTGAAAGTGAAAGGATGGCTAGATAACATGTTAATCACTATTAACAAGGATAAAACAAAATACATGCCATTTACTTGCATATGCTTGTGTCCCCCTTCTTACAACCAACTAAACAGCGACACGTGTACACCATTACGCATTGGAATTTGTTGCTAAAATAAATGTATCTTGGTGTATATATAGATAGTCATCTGAAATGGGAATACCACATAAATTATACTATTAAAAAATTACAGGGCCTTTTATACAAGTTTAAATACTTACGCTCATAGAAAGTCAATTAAGATATGGCATTATTTGGGGAAATGCACTTAGGTGCCACTTGAAAGCATTCAAAACAATAAAAAGAAGGTTTTTGAAAATAATTTCTTCGCGAGATTTTCGTTCTATTGTATTCGGAAGGCAATATCCTGGACCTTAGGCAACTATACTTTTACTATTTGGTTCAAAAATACAAGTTAACAACGAAAAAACCTAGTTTACTCTTCCATTATTATACCTAATACTCAAAACAGAAATCTTCATATTCTTTCTCAGGTTGGTAAATCACTTACTCAACGATCCTTTGATTATCTTGCACTTAAAATGTACAATCAATTGAAGAGGTTAAAGAGGTTAAGTGGTGTGTACACACTGGGTAATATGAAATGAATCGAGAGTATTTAAAGTATGCAAAATTGAGTTTTATTCAATAAAACTCTGTAAAAATTTGTCTAAGCGCTTTGGGCCTATTAGGCCATCATCAGAGACTCTATAAAAGAGAAAAAAAAAACGGAGCTGTAACAATAAATCAACTCGTAACATTACTAAACAATGAATAAAAATAAAAACTTGTAAACTTACTCGTCAAAAACTATAGAAGAAACATGAAAAGAGAACTAAATTAAAAAGGGCAGCAACAGACCAGTCCCAAGTCTCCACCATAGCTTGCATCTTGGATAATTAAAAACAAAAGAACCAAACCGAAAATGTAGTTAAATTTTAACAAATGAAGTGAAGGTTCATCCAACCAAGAAGAACAAAACACTCAAAACCATTGAGAGGAAAAAAAAACTGCTGGTCTTCAACATGAAGGCAGCCAGATTTTGCCAATTGCTACCGTGAGGCGGAGGCAAGTTGGGTTACAGAAAATATATAAAATAAGTACACGATTTTTTTAAGAACGTGACCATCTTGACAGTTTCAGTTTACCAAAACCATTGATCTGGCAACCTAGGGATACGACATGCGTAAACGAAAAGTGGGACCGGTCCGCCATTACTGTGAGTGCAAATTGTCAAATTTTATAGGTTATATTTTTAGTGTCATTTGTGTAATTAAATTTGAATTTAATTTGTGTTTGAGCAAATTTTGAGTGTTAAAAACTTATAAAGTATATAATGCCTTGCTGCGTTATACGTTCCTGCTCCAGCGATAGACGTTTTTGTGAAAAATCTACTGGAATAACGTTTCATAGGTTAGTATCACAATTATAAATATTATACAGGACAGTATTATGACAGGTTTGTATAAAATGTGTAAAAGTATGCTTTTAAAAATGCAAAAAAAAATCATCTATCAACTTTTGGGCCCACCTATAATGGAATAAATACTTTTTCATACGAAATAATATTTATAGATTTCCAAAAAATCCTGAAAAACGTAGCGCGTGAATACAGTTTGTCAAGAAGCATAATTGGGAACCTTCTAAATTCAGTTGTATATGTTCCAAACATTTTCTCGAGAATTACATTAATCGTACGCTATTTCGTTTATCAGATTTATAGGCATTTTCTATTCTTATTTATATTTAAATATAACCTACATTTGCGGTCCTTCCACCAATTTTATTTATTAGTTCTACGGCTGATTGAAAAGTAGAGCTTCATGTTTTGTGTATGCTTGAGTATTGTTTGTTTTAATATAGTTAATTTAAAACAATATTAATATACCTTTTTACTAACCTATAATTTGTTTCAGATTAGTGTGTTTAAAGGTATTGGTGAAAATGAAGCGATTTGCCAGCTTTGGGGATGTGCCAGTAAAAGTGACATCGAAGTTATTCAACGTTTCCAGAATAAAGTATTAAGGAACATGGTACTGCCACAATACTGATCTTCGTAGGAACCTTAAAGTGGAGACTGTTGAAAATACAATACAAACATTTGCCAGTAGTCACCAACGA